CCCCTATTTTCGGAAACTCCCTATGAGCTTTTTGATTGGAAACCCAAAGACAGAAAGATAATGATTGTCGCTCCTGCCGCAACCGCAGGCAGCATGGCAAGTATCCGGAGCTCCTACAGAGATGCGGAGGTTATGCTATGGAAGATTCAGCAACAAAGAGAGACTCAGAAACTAGGTAGGGCTTTGGGACATTTTATATTTTCCCTTATTGGGCTTCAGAGGATCTTATTTACTAATATTTTTCAAAGGCTCTAAAAGCCCTACCTAGGAAGGCTGCGTGACGTTCGGGTTGCCCTGCCACCTCTTTCCCGAGGGAGCCCGGCGCCTCAAGGAGAAGCTTGCGAAACTTACGAGCGGATTTGAGCACACTTTAGAGAGAACGTTATTTCTGGTCATAGACATGTAAAGTGCTCTTTTTTTGGGCCTCTACCTTGCCTTCTTTGGGATAATTATCCCTCATCATAGAGATGACAGCGTTCTTTTTGTGAGCCTCTGAACGCCGCAACTCAGGAAAGTTGCGAATATAAGGTCGAGTCTTTAGCAGGAAGTCCATGGAGACGGCCTTGCACCGTGCCCAGACCCTCTGGGCGCGGCTCTCTCAGGAGTTCAAGGGGGTTTTGGGGTTTAGGGTTTAGGGTCAGTTAGGGACCCAAAACGGACATAAGCATAAGCACTTTATAGGGATATCCCTACCTTACTGGGCTTCATTTTTAGGGGGGTTTATCTGGGATATCCCTATCCTATCTTTTGTTTATGTGCTTTTTGGGTGCCCTAAGGAGGGCGACCCCCAAATCCCAAGCCCTAAGACATGTAACCCCAAAACATACGAGATAGCCTCGTTTAGGTCAATCCCTAAACCCTAGACACGAAACCCCAAACCCTAAGCCCAAACCCCAAGAGGAGGATTGCCCTAGACACTAAACCCGAAAAAAAAAAGAAACCTAAACCTTAAGCCTAAACCCCAAGAGGAGGATTGCCCTAGACCCTAAAAAAAGAAACCTAAACCCTAAACCTCTAAACCCTAAACCCTAAACCCCACGAGGAGGATTACCCCAATGGCGCCGTGGTCTTCTGCTCGGAGTCCCTGGCCGAAGCCTTCCACCCAGCCAGGCCCCTGTCAGTTAGGAACTTAAAACGGACATAAGCTTGGACGGATGTTCTGGCCGACTCCATCGATTTGTCCGTGGCTGCACTTGCCGCCGCCCAGCAACAGCCTGGCCGCAGTGGCGACGCAGTTATGGTTCGAGGCCGCAAAAAAAAAGGCCAGGACGTGTTCCGGGCGAGACGTTCGCAACAACGGGGAGGGAGGTGGGCAGCAGCCCGCGCCTGGAGAGATTGCAAGTTCCGAGTCGAGTCCAGTTTGTTACTTCTTCTTTTTCTCTGCAACCATGTTGTCAAACCTCGGAGGGTAGGCAGGTCATCAACGTGTGCAGTGCGACGTCATTGTCTTGCCGGCCAGCTCGCTGCACCCTTGTCAAATGTGTCTCTGCAGCTTCGGCTGGTTAGCATTCCAACCCTTGCTAGCACCGCCTGCCCGTGACCTCTACGAGCATGCGTTTCCTCGAAGTGGCAAGCTTGTCCCTGGATGCTCGGAGAACTTGCTGGCGACAAGGCCTGGACATGACTCGCGGCCGGCGAGTGATGAACTATGTTTGTGTGTGTCTGGTGTGTGTGTGTGTGTGTCTGTGTGTGTGTGTGTGTGTGTCTGTGTGTGTGTGTGTGTGCGTGGGTGTGTGTGTGTGTGTCTATGCGTGTCTGTGTGTGTGTGTGTCTTTGTGTGTCTCTCTGTGTCTGCGCACGTGCCTTGTGCAGGCCTTGCTTGTCTCCGCGAGGAATTCCGTTCCGCATCCGAGCTGCAGGATATGGTCGAGGATTTGGAGCAATCTGAGTCTCGCGCCATCGAGTCCTTGCATGTCCTGCGAGTTCTGTGCATGTTTCCGCTCTTCCGCGGTCATGGGCATGGGCAGCTCGTAGAACTAGTGGTGTCTTGGCCGCGATAGCCATATATCGGCTCCGAAACTAAAGACATTGTTCGAAGTGCATTCTTCTAGGTGCGGTCTTTGAAGTTAGTTCAAGATGCACAGTGCACCACAGGCATCTTTCCTGGTGCCGTCCCTGGAAGACCCTACGCCAGCGCCGCTCTTCCGACCCGTCTTCTTCGCGCACGTGCCGCCAAACATTGCGGAGGAAGCTTTTGCGGAGGACCTCGAGCCGGCGAACCTCTTGAGGATGTGGCGTGAGGCACGACGTTGACATTTGCTTTTGGGTGTTTCATGTCTCCATAGGCCATTGTGGTGTGCTGTTGCAGGTCGCGGTGCTTCGAGAAGACAATGCAGCTCAGCGGGGCTACGTGATCCAGCGCTGGCGACGAGTCGCTGGACTTGAGAACCAGGAAGGTGCCGCTCTCTGCCAGCTCGGCCTCCTTTGAAAAGCGGCGTGCCGCGGGACGCGGCTCGCCAGGTCGAGGCCGTGCACAGTAGAACAGGCCTGCTAGAACAAAATCTCTGCTGCTGCTGTCTGCCTTTGCTTCTGGGTTGCGACGATTGCGAGTTTCTCACTTCATGACTCACGTGTGCATCGCTCCGGCCGCGCGCTGTCGAGCTTGCTCCATTCTGGCTGCCGCCTTTCACGTGTGCACGCCGCAGCTTTTCGGCTGCCATCATGGCTCCTGTTCTTGTGCTTGCCGTTTCTCAACTGCAGGGCCTGATCGCTCGCCGCGAGAAACAAAAGGTCTTGCGTTGCCTGAGATGCTCGGCCTCATGCGGCCTCTGTTGTTTCACGCACTTGCCTTGTCGACTGATCCCGACCCTTTCCCCTCTCTGCTGCAGCTGGCCCGAGTGCAGGGTTGCGGGGAACACAGGGCACCGGCGACAAGCCGCATGTCCGACGGGCCACTCGTGCTGCCGGCTTCTGCGCTGGAAGCGCCGGCGCTTCCTGCGCAGGCCCTCTTCATCAAGCAACAGTGGTGCCGGGAAATTTTGGAAAATGGCAAGACGTGGGAAATTCGTGGCGAGCCCTGTCGCAAGCGTGGAAGGATCTGCATCGCGCAGTCCCAGAGCAACCTTCTGGTGGGGGCGTTTACGATCGTGGACTGTGTCCTTGTGGCTCGGAGGAATGCAGCCGGGGACCTCGTGCCGAGGGACGCCACGCCCGCAGGCGCTGCAGACTTCTTGTGCAACGACGCAAACTTCGCTAAGCATCGTATCACCGATTTCTCCGTTGTCTCTTACTCGAAGGTTTTCGCTTGGGTGCTCGCAGACGTGGAGGTCTATCCCACACCTATATCGTGGTTCCCTGGAAATCGACGCGGCAGTGTGAAGTTCGTCAACCTGACGCGCGACGTTTTGCATTGCAAGCAAGCGGTCCACGCAGAGCAGTCGGGTTGCTCCTCTGCGGATGATGAGCATGGACGTAAGCGCCCTGCTGCAGCCCCCGCCGAGGTGCTGCCCCTGGAACGCGGGCTGCGGCTGCGTCCTCGCTGGCGTGCTGGCATTTTGAACCCTGGTGTGTTGGGCGAGGCCAGTCAAGCTGCGACAGGCTCCAGTCTGTGCTGACTGTGGCACCCAGGCACCGTGGCGTCTTGTGCTGCAAGTATAGACGCAGTTTTATGCTCTCGCTTGCGAGCAGGCAGACTTACTTTCCGGCTTGCAAGCAAGCAAACTCACCTTGAGCTCCGGGATTTAGTTCTGCGCGCCAGGAAAAAACCTGCCTCTCGATACGCCTTCGGGTTCTGCTGTACTCTCTGCGTTGGCAGCCTTTGGTCGCCTCCTTGCTTGTGAATGTCGCAGTTTGCAGGCTCCGGATTTTGGGTCTTGCTGCTTTTCGTAGGAGCCCATGGCTGTGGAGGTGGTGTCCACTCCCTTGGAGTGCTGCCCTTTCTGCGAGGGGTCGCCTGCGCTGGCGAGCGGAACCCTTCGCTGCCGAGCACTGGGGCTGTCCTATCGCCACGGTGTGCAGCAGCTGGAGCTTCGCGGCCGCAGCTGCCGTGGCTGCAAGCTCCAGTTCCTTGGATGCTGGTGCTGGGGCCGCGCAGAGGGCGACACCGACGTCCCGCGTCTTGCCTGTGCGCCCAGCCATTGCTCTTGGTTCTTCATGAAGACTCGCTTCCATGCGAATGCATTGGTGGCTCTGAGTGTCGACTACCTCCGGTTCATGACCGCATCTTTCTTGCACCTGCGGGCTTCTTTCCGTGGCCTCGCGAAGATGCTCCCAGAGCTTTTCCCAGAGCAGCATTTGGAGCCTAACGATTGTCATCGGGTCTTGGAGCACGGCTGGTTCCTGTTCGAGACGCTGAACCGACTGGACACTACGGCGTGCATCGGCAAGACCATCGACATCCGCCTTGCCTCACTCGACACGACCTTGTGTAGTCTGGAGCCGTCTTTGTCCTTGCTGCTGTCCTCACAGACAGTCACACATGTTTGCAGTGCCTGCGCCAACCCTGTACTTGCAGGGGACGGGGGGGATGAAGCTTACGACCAGGCTCTGCAACGAGCGTTCGTCGGCGACCCTGCAGGCAGACTCCCTACAGTTGACGATTCCTCTGGGATGTTCCCAGCGCCCTTGCCGCGGCAGCCTCTTCTGCAAGCGCCACCAGCTGCTGAACCCACCCGCGATGCCGGAGATTAACTGCCATCGCATCACGACGCAGGGGAACTTACAGTTTCGCTACAAGGGTGACACAGAGTTTGTCGCGGTCGAGGAGGTGGATCAACGACGGCTCCGTCAGTACGACTCTCGTAATCTGCTGACAGCTCTGGATGATGAGGCGGATGCCGCGGCCGGGTCGGGCTCCGAGAGCGGCCAGGGTGGTGCCCGTGATGCGAGTCCTGCCGTGCTTCGCATGCACGCATCGGACGCGGCGATCGATGCTTGTCGCTGCGCCAAGCAAGGATGATCGCAAGCGCGTGGCCGTGCGCAAGTACGCGGGAGTGTTCGTGGTCTCACTTCCGTGCGGACACATCGTCTTCCTGCATCACATGGTAGGGTCGGAAAGTCTGCCGCAGGTGGCGTATTCCTTTGCCAAGGCACGAGAGCTCTTGCCGAACAAGACTTCTTGTGCTACGACAATGCCTGCGCTCTGGCTCGCTACTGCCGGAACAAGAAACGACCGGATTCCGGGCCATTGCGCGCGGCTTTCGCACCCTGTGTCTTTTTCCTGCCGTGCTCGCGCGTGAAAAATCACGGCTTGCTTGAACCCCGGGAGCTCCTACTACCTGCCGGAGGTTTTGAAGGAGAAGCATGAGGTCTTGACCGATGTTAACACCGAGGTTCAAGAGCAGGTGCCTTGCCTTGAGTGGTGTGTGGTTGGTCTGCTAGATCTAATTAAGGGCTTCCTCTCATGATGTCTTGATTCAGTCGTAAGTCGTAGCATCTTTTCGTATGTATGTGTGTTGCACGTGCTCGATGTCCGCCGCGGACGCTTGCCAAGAATGCAGCTCCTTTTTTATACTCTCGCGTTTCGGCACCGCAGCTTCCCTCTGCTTGCAGGTCTTCGCATGGGTTCGCTGGCTGGTCTACGTCGCCAATCCGATGACGCCTGTGCGGCATCGCATCTTCTTCCTGATCCTGGTGCTCGCTCGAAACTCAGCTCGAGGAGGACCGTGTTCCGCGGCGGGTGGGCCGAAAGCGACGCTTCGTGTCACGACGGCAGGTTGGAGGGCTGGCGAGAGGACTCTCCCCAGGTACTCCGATGGCCGCAGATCGCGACGAAACAGAGGTTCCGGTCCGGCCTGCGATGCTGGTCGCACGTGCCAGCCCTGGAACAGATCTTGCAGAATCCGCTGCTGGACTTTCTTCAGCCAGTTCCCTAGCAGCAGGGCCCCATGACACGGCCATTTCGGTGGAGCCGTCGATGCCGGAAGTACCCTCCAGCTCCGGACTGTGTTCTGCAGATGTCGGTCTTGCAGTTGCTGCACCCGTACCTTCCGCGATGGATAGGAGCACCTCCGAGTCCAGTCCAGAGTTCGTGCTCAACTGCCGTGATTGGAAGCTGCACCGCTTGCAAACGCCGGGTGCCCACGTTCTGGCTTGCGGGTCTTCCTTTCCGAAGAAAGCCACAATGGCCGTGAACATGAGCGTTGCCTATCGCTCGCTCTGCCTCAAAGCCGGGTGCTTCTGAGATTTTCGGCGAAGCCGTGCATCGGAGCTGTTCCATTCAGCACAGAGGGCAGCCTCCTGACTCTTTTCGCTCGCTGCTGGTTGCACGTGGCGAGTCTTGGGTTCGTTTCATTACAGAAACTGTTTAGGAAGCGTGCCAGGGCCTCGTCCCGTGCATCTCATATAGCGACGAGAAAACAAGGCCCCATGCACATGCTGATGTGTCTGCACTCTGTGAGTGTTGTGTGCTGCCATGCTCGCTTCCGGCCTCGTCTTGTGTTCGTTGCACATGTAGCTTGGTAGACACGTCGGAGGTCCTACCTGGTACTCGGTTTCTGCTGCTTCGAAGAGGGCAGCCTCGCGAAAATCACGACAATCGTGTGCCTGCCCTGTGTGACCGAAACCGTCTGCTTGACACGCCTGCTCCCGGCTGCAGAGTCCGGCTCAAGCTGTGTATCTTGAAGTGATCCTAGCACGATTGGCACCTGCGTCACGATGCGGAGAGCCACAGCCGATGAGAAGACGATTTTGGAGGCCTTCAAGAACGCGCAAGATGTCCGCTTTCCCAAAGCCGATCTGACGGCCTTGCTGCCAGAACTCATGCAGCATTGTGGCCTTGTCGCCGACTCGTTGTCGGTGCCCGTGTCCTGGGCATTGCTCGCCGAGGTGTGTGCGGCCTCCTTTCTTGCGCCCACGTCTGTCGTTTACGCGCAAAAGACGCTACCTCTCTTCACGATGCCCTGGGCCTTTGTTTTGCACCCGGGCGCAACGCAAACCAGTGGGCTTATGTCCACGTACGGCAAAGTGTTGCGACAGATCGAGCTCTGGGAAAACGACTTTCAGAAGCAGCGCGCCAAAGAACGCCATGAGGCGGCCATGGAGCGTGCCAACGCGCGTGCCGAGGGTCCAGAGGAGGGTGCGGCCAAGCGACCTCGGTTCCAAGCTCCGCCTGAGATGCGCATGGGCTTTACTTCCGGCTCGGTGGACGGTGTGGTCGGCCGCATGTCCGAGCCACAGAACCTCTCACGTGCGGCTGCGTTCCTGGTGGAGGGCTCCGTCTCCGTGTTTCTGAACTGGATAACAGAGCAGTCCGCGGGATCGCAAAGTCTGGTGACGCAGCTCACGGATCGCACCGTGTGGGACAAAGTGACAGTGAAGGACCCGTGCCTCTTGTCTCTCAGTAGACCGCGGCCTACTGTTTTAGGGATGGAGTTCGTCTATAACTGTGTGCGGTCGTCTGTTTGTGCTCTTCAGACCATGTCCCGATTGGTGTAGTCTGCCCTGTAAGTCGTGCAGTCTTGAGACAGGATCGAACGACGGTTCTGGTGGATGCCCCGTTCATCGGCATCTGCGGGGCTGTGCACATGGAGGAGCTCATGCGTGCCTTGGGGGAGGCGGATCCTCTAGGACTACGGGAACGGCTGCTCGTCATGTACGAGCACCCACGTTTCACCCGCAGTGCTGAACTGCGCGAAGCGTGCGCGCGCATCCCCGGGCCTACCTTGCACGGTTACTTGGCCGAGTCTTTCTGGTCCCTGCATCGCGTGCACACCCCTGCTCACAAGCTCTCTGAGTTCACAACGGACCTGAACTATTCTTGGTTGTTCTACTCGTGGAGCCCGGAGGCTGCTTCAACTTTTTGGGAGAACTTCGACACGTGCGCTGGAGACCAGGAAGAGAATTATGGGCTCGATCAGCAGGCTGCAAAGAAGGCTGGAAAGCGCAAGACGCGCCATTTTCGTCTTGCCTTGCCCCTGCACAATCTGCAACAGAAGGCTTGCGGTACGGAGCCGGACAGGTGGAATCTTCGCATATCCTCGAATGCAGCTCGTGCGAGTTTGCTCTTCAGTGACTACATCGACAAGGTGTTCGAGCGCCTAGACATTCTGCGCAAGAAGGATGCTCCTGCGCCGCCGGCGCCCAAAGCCGTAGCGCGTGGGTCGGCTGCTGACATCAAGGCGCTGCTCGAGATGAACTCTGTTGACGACGTCAGTGCAGGTGTAGATGTGCAACACCTGTTCACGGCAGCACGTGCCGTTTGCCTGTCGCAGAAGTCGCCGTGTCTTCGTGCCAGCGACGTCCACCACATGCGCCCGGTTCGCACGCTGGACCTGTCCCCGGAAAGCTTCCAACTTCTCGGCCGGCGAACTCTGCAGCTTCTGTGTCTCTTAGGCCTCGGATCAACAGGGTGCAGTACAAATGCATCCGGCACCAAATGCCTCTGGTTCGTCAAGCGTCCCACTGAGCACCTGCGAAGCGAGGTCCTCCAGGGCTCTCTGCTTTCCTTGAGACTTTCTACCGATGAGTATCAAAGCCAGACGGAGCCGCAGATCCGAGCTGCGCGAAAGGCGAATCAGCCCGAGATCAAATGGACGGATCCGGCTGAGCCACGAATCAAGGAGGCTATCGATCAAGCGGCCCAGAGTGTACTGGCATGGGGGGTTGCAGCCCCGGCTGCCCCGGCTGCTCCAGCTGCCCCAGCTGCCCCGGCTGACAACGCCTGAAGGTGCCGTTTTTTTTTTCAACACCGACTGTGCTGCTGCTGGGCTACCCGAGCCGGCAGCGGCAGCGGTTTCGTGTTTGCAGGGGGTGTGGGCCACTCTTCGGCGGGCTTCGTCATCTACAGACGGACAGGAAGCGTGCTGGAGAGTACTGTGTTCTGTAGTGTTACAGTGTTCTTCGCAGGATCGAGCGCACGTGGGCAAAAAGCCGTAATCTCATGTCGATCTTCCGTGAGATGGATAACTCAGTGCTTTTGTGCGTGGAGCTGCTGTGCTCCCCATGTCCATGCATTTCTTTATCCGCTCGCCACTTCTTCTTGTCTTTGCTCATGTTCCTGCCGCAGCTTCTTGAGTCCACGTATCTGGTGCGGTTGCTGCTGTCTTTCCTCTGGCCGCCCGCCCGCATTCGACTTGCTTTGACGGCGCCAGCAGTGAACACCAGCCCTGGCGCAACGGACGTGGTTGCGCCTGAGAGTGCTGCTCGAGATGCAATATGCCGGATGCTGCGCCCTGTTTTCTTGCGTGGCCTGCGCTGCCCGACCTTCCAGCGCTTGGCCATCCCAACACTCTCCTGGCTGTCGTCGGGCGGCTCTGTCGTTCGGCAAGCGACACGGCTTTGGAGCGCGCCTTTGGAGGAGGAGGGAACGCTGCATGATTTCCATGGTCGGCATTGCTGGAAGATTGGGAGTTGCCGTGGGCGCGATCCTCACACATCTGAATCGCAACCATGCGCAGGTTCGAGATGCTGTGGCCTTTATTGAGTCGCACCTGGTCGACGCATGGCTTTTTACGGATGTGGGGTCTGGCCAGGGCCGGGTGCGTATCCCACCCGTGGCACTTCCGGGTTTTCCTCTCAATGTTCCCGCAGATGGCGCAGGCAACATCGATTTCTATCTGCTCCACCTCCGCCAGGGCGACTACGACATCCTCCTGACGTGCTGCGAGATCGCTCTGGAAGCATGGCACTTTGTCGACGGTGCATCGGCGACGAATCCTCGCGAGGCGGGGCACGTGCGCGTGGTGCTTCATGTCATGCTTCTGCGTGCCATGTACATGGTCGTGTCAGTCCTGCGCAGGTCGGCGATACTTTCGCCGAGCACGCTGCCTTTACTGGTCCTTTTCCTGTCAGTGATAGCGACGAGGACGAAGCCGACTAAGGCCAGCATGGTAAATTCAGCTGCCGTCGCATGCACGGCTTCCTTCTTTCGGTGAGATGCTTTGAAATCGTCCGCGCCCAGCAGAAGCCTGGCAGCAGTGGCGACACGTAGCCGGAAGCTCTCTTCTTGTACAAAGCAGACATGCGACCTCGTACAGAACAGACGCGCGACAAAGGGGCGTGCCGGTCGCGTCCTCGACCTAGTTTAGGAACTGTTGCTGGATCTCCATGCGTTTACATGTTGCGAATCCTATAGACGTAGGGAGATGTTTCAGTTAGTCGCGACTGCCGTCGCCGCTGCAGCCGCAGCTGTGTTCCTTGCTCTGTTCACAGGTCACACGGAGCTGCTTCGGAGTTGCGCCCATTCATAGGTGATCTGCCCTGATGCCTTTGCCGCGCCGTGCGCCCTGGGCCGACGAAACCGACTCGGACGAGTTCGTTGCTCTGGAGGTGGACAAGGCTTCTTCGCGGACCTCGTCGCCTGCGTTCGTTGGCGATCTGCCTGCTCCTTCTGCTACTGCCCAAGCACATCAGGAATCGGCTCTTGTCGTCGCTGTGCGGCCGATCCAGTCTGGGGTGAACAACCACGATTTCGGCACCCCGCAGGCGACGCGAGGCTCGGGACACACTCCGATGGCAGGCGCTACAGTCACGCGAGCCCCGTGCCTGAATGGCTCTCCTGTGCCAACACTGACAGCGAGACGTGTGGTGGAAGTGGCAGCTTTCGTCCGCGCGCTGCTGACCTCAACGCGCGGAGGCCCGGAGCTGCGGACTCTGCTGCGAGCCTGGCAGTACCGTCTGCGGTACGTTCTTGCTGACACGCACATCCCGTGCACGGTTTGGAGAGCTTTGGTTTTCGACGTGCACATCCCGGACGTGGGCGACATACTTCAGCTTCAGCACTACCGCATTTGACATTGCCTGGCGCCCTGTCCTTTTCCTGTCAGTGATAGCGAGGAGGACTAAGGCGAGTAAGGCCAGCATGGTAAATTCAGCTGCCGTCGCATGCACGGCTTCCTTCTTTCGTGAGATGCTTTGAAACCGTCCGCGCTCAGCAGAAGACTGGCAGCAGTGGCGACACGTAGCCGGAAGCTCTCTTCTTTGTACAATGCAGACACGCGTCTTGTCTTTTGGTTAACACCGACTGTGCTGCTGCTGGCCTACCCGAGCCGGCAGCGGGAGCGGTTTCGTGTTTGCAGGGGGTGCGGGCCACTCTTCGGCTTGCTTCGTCATCTACAGACGGACAGGAAGCGTGCTGGAGAGTACTGTGTTCTGTAGTGTTACAGTGTTCTTCGCAGGATCGAGCGCACGTGGGCAAAAGGCCGTAATCTCATGTCGATCTTCTGTGAGATGGATAACTCAGTGCTGTTGTGCGTGGAGCTGCTGTGCTCCACATGTCCATGCATTTCTTTATGCACTCTCTCTGCAGTTTGGTTCCGCTGCTACGACGCATATTCCGCCCGCCACTTCTTCTTGTCTTTGCTCATGTTCCTGCCGCAGCTTCTTGAGTCCACGGATCTGGTGCGGTTGCTGCTGCTTTTCCTCTGGCCGCACGCCCGCATTCGACTTGCTTTGACGGCGCCAGCAGTGAACACCAGCCCTGGTACTAGTGGTACTAGGAGTAGAGGTTGTAGTCGTAGTAGCAGCAGCAGCAGCAGCAGCAGCAGCAGCAGCAGCAGCAGTAGTAGTAGTAGTAGTAGTAGTAGTGGTAGTAGGAGTCGT